ATATATATATATATATATATATATAGAGAGAGAGAGAGAGAGAGAGAGAATAGAAATAATCTTAGTACATTCTTTAATTGATAAAAGTCAGGTCTTATTTGACAATTAAATCATTAAGATTTATTTCAAATTGTTAATTATAATAACAATAATTATTTTAGTGTTAAACAATGTTAGGTATTTGACGTAAATCATTTCTTGACTTCTATATTCAAGGAATTAATTATTAGTTGAAGCTTTTAAGCTTCTTCAGGAATTGGGAATAAATATAGCCCGCTACCGTTAATATATACTGTCTCTTTATATCCCGTTACCGTTAATATATACTGTCTCTTTATATCTCGTTACTGTTAATATATACTGTCTCTTTATATCCCGCTACCATTAATATATATACTGTCTTTTTATATCCCACTACCATTAATATATACTGTCTCATGCTTATAGCTTTTTGCCATTATTAATACACTATTGAATCTCAATAGTTTGAATATTAATGATAGTATGTAACTTAACAAAATTACTAGTCTTTGTATGTAAATTGTTACACACCTTTATAAAAGTGCCTACTACAATTTTCAGAACTAAAAGAATTAATCTATTCTTTGAAAACACAAACTAATATTTATGTATAATAACAAAAAGTTATCTTTTAGCTTGTTAAGCAAGTTTTAAAAGGTCCTGAAAATATTAAAATTTATTTTAATTAGTTTTTCAAGTAGTCATTATATGTTATAAAAAAAGGTTGTTTTTTTAAGCATGAGAGAAGTATTTTGGCTTTCTGCCAAACTCATCAAAACTAGGTTTTTGTTAAATACAAACATAGATCAATAAATTCAGGATAACAGAAGATTTTTAACAGGCCCCTTATGAGCCAGTGGGGGACATTTTTGTTGAAAAAAAAAACAACTACCCAATCCAGTTTTTCTTAATTTGAACTGAATTTTTTTTGACATTTTTGTTGGCTAATAAGAAGGCATTTCCCACACTCTTTTGGCGTTTGGGCTGCGAAAAAGTGATTTGAAGTGGTAAGGTGAGTGAAATCCGTCAGCTCATCACGAGCTTGACGGCCAAGCACAAGAAGCATTGAAGTCTCTAAATGACACGCTGAGGTATTCAGGAACCGTTTAGAACCACCTTGGTAGATATTGTGCAGCAAGCCGAGTACAATATTATACCTGTAGCTGCTTTCAAAGTGTTCCTGTCTGCTCATCCTACTGCTGACAATTGTGATGCTTCGACCTTCCCTACCGATTCACAGGTGAAATCGTTTGTATCTCAGTTGGAAGCTAAACATAAAAAGATGATAGCAGAAGCATAAAAGGTTGGCAATTGCTTAATTAATGATGCTGAGAATGTGGATTTATTGACATATATACTCCCAGCGGTTAGACCTTAGTACTAGCTAGTATGGAGACCTGAGGATGCTGTATTTCACTTAACAATTTATCAATTAACAAACGAAAACCTGTCTTGAAGTTTTCTCAAAAAGATGCATCCAAAACCACCCTCTTTGAGAGTTTCTGGATTGGACTTACATTTAATATTCAACAAATTGTAGTGTAAAGACACCTCTTGGCTCCTGAGGGAGGTGTTAAAATTAAATCTTTATAATTCCATTGCAAGAAACTGGTAAGAGATATTTGGGATGCAGTGATCTACGTGCAAGCCTAATTATAATGCTTAATTTATTGAAATTATATAATATTGAAAAATATATATATATATACAAAAATAAATGAACTGTAATTTTCCGTAGATGCTCAAAAATAGTTGGAAGGGTATTTCCCTTCTATACATATTGTGAATTTTAGTTAACTTTTGTTTAATCTCAGAACGAAAACGGTATAAATTATATTTTTCATGGTCATTCCTTAGAGAAACATTTGGAGCACTTTGATATTAAGAAGTTTTATACTTATGACACTACTGTATTAAATAATACTGTGCATCTTGAACGGTAGAAGAAAGAGAATAGAGCATGTGATTATTGAAACCACATAGATAAATATAAAAAAATGTTTACATTGCTGTATATATGGATGTAGATTAGACTGAATCATTAAGAGATACATGTTGATTGATAGTTTATATATACACACACACACACACACGTATGTGCTATACCTAAATAACGATAACTACAAATAGATTGTGTTAAAGTTAACAGAATCTAAAATAATATACACACACAAGTGAAACTGCTTATAATTTTTGTGAGAATTATTTGTTAATCACATATTTTATTCTGTGAAAAAAGTCAATAATTTGGTTTCAGATTGCAAAGACAGCTAAATGAAAAAAAAAGATTACACTTACATGTTTTCTCTTTCAGTTAGAGTTCATTTTATGGGTTGAGTGTGGCCTAGTGATTAGTATGACATACTGTGAATCTGAGGGTCTATGGTTTGCACTTTTGAGTCACGGATCCATTGTAAGAGTGTCTGTCAAATCCCATATTTCATTAGAGGAGTCCAATAGTTGGCAATGGGTGCCAATGACTGGATGCCTTTCTTTTAGTCTACCATTCCGAGTTAATGACAAGTAGTGCAGATACCCCTTTTGTGACATTTTTGTAAGGCAAACCTTCTTTCTTTGATAGGGTTTTCGCCAAAAAAGAAAAGGATATTACCTGATGAAAAGGAAACCAGAATTCCATTAGAACATGGGTATGTATTGTTTTATAGAGAATGATATTTGTTATAGTTCTTTGGATGTTCTAAATTTCGTCTATTTGTACCAATCTTTACAACACTGTAACGTGCTAAAGAATTTTTTGTTTTTCTCTCGTTCAATGACAACAACAAGAATGATGATTTTGATAGTTGATTAGTTTAACATTTTCAAGTGTCTTTTAGATATGTTAAACTTATCAAGTGAAGCTTATGGAAAAGATGCACAAGACATACAAGTGAAATAAATGAAAATGGAACTTGTGTACAATGTTAAAATAACTGTACAATAAATAATTATTAAAAACAGGAACCCTAAAAAGACTACACGTTTCAGTGTTTTACGTCACCGTTTTCAGGAGTAAAAGTTGAAGTTTGATCAAGACTTGTATAACTACAAAATCATTTGCATACCTTTGGTGCTATCTAGACTTAAACACCGAGAGTTGTTGATACAGCCCAGTTATTACTATTTAGTCAGCTTAAGATTTTCCTATACAAGCCAAAAAGTGTAGAAATAATTGAGTCATATTTCCTGTTGTGTAATGGAATCTTTAGAATGTATCGGGTAAAGATAAAGTGCTAAGGATGTGTTTGAAAAATTACAAAAAGCAATGAACTGAAAAGGGAAAATGTAGATTTTTTTGGCTCTGTTTTGTTCTTTACAGAGCTTCAGGAAAACACACAATTTTTATATTTTATTTTATTAAGTTGCATCTAAGAGTTTTCATGTTTAAAAATATTTTTCTTAAAATCTTGAAATAATTATTTCTTTATTCACAATTATGTAAGGAATATTGTTTATTTCCAGAGAGTAGTTTCTAGGATGTGTAGCTTACTAATAGAAACTAATAAGGAAATGTGGTCTAAGATTTTGTTATTGCTAATTAGAGCATAGGTTTTGGGATTTTAGTTTTTAATATTAAAAGATATTATGTCTTTTGGGAACAAAAAAACTTTACAACTTTTGCTGACTTGTTTTTTTTACCTGTTTTCCTTTTAATGCTAATAACATTATTGTACGAACCATCACATTTATGCTTAAAGATTAAAAAAAACAGTATCTGTTTTGCAGTAATTTTGTTATGCCAGACAGATAAAAGGTTCAGTGGATGTTAAATAAGTTATTGCTATAAAACTTTTTCAAGCACCAGTTAAAGCAAGTATAGTGCATTCAGTTAGTCTTAGCATCTTTCTATGAATTTGTTACCGTTAATATATACCGTCTCTTTATATCCTGATACCATTAATATATACTGTCTCTTTATATAGGATATAAAGAGACGGTATATATTAATGGTAGCATGATATAAAGAGACAGTATATATTAATGGTAGCTGGATATAAAGAGACAGTAAATATTAACAGTAGTGTGATATAAAGAGACGGTATATATTAATGGTATCAGGATATAAAGAGACGGTATATATTAATGGTAGCAGGATATAAAGAGACAGTATATATTAATGGTATCAGGATATAAAGAAACGGTATATATTAACGGTATCAGGATATAAAGAAACGGTATATATTAACGGTATCAGGATATAAAGAGACAGTATATATTAATTGTAGCAGGATATAAAGAGACAGTATATATTAACGGTAACAGGATATAAAGAGACAGTATATATTAACGGTAGTGGGATATAAAGAGACAGTATGTATTAACAGTAACGGGATATAATGAGACAGTATATATATTAACGGTAATGGGATATATATAGAGACAGTATATATTCACTCTTTCAACACGGGGCTCGGTTCCTGGGACTGACCTCGTAATCATTTTGTGCTTGTTATAGTTTTCATGCTATAACCTTTAAATCAGTAGGTGTATGTTAATGAAATATGGCAGATTATCAGTAAACATTACAATGCTTTCATACACAAAATATCAAGTTTTTCTATTATTAAGTTTTAAGGTTTGTAAAGCAATGTTTTTCTCGTGCCTTTTTTTTTCTTTTTACATGCTTGCCTATCCAACATGCAAAGTAATTTTCATTTT